CTTTTTGCATAGCATCCCGTAACACTGCGTGTCGTTGGGTCACCAGTTTCTGTTGACTGTCTGATCTGTCTGTACCTTTGATAGGGGTTTTTTTCAGCACTTATTCAACAGACAAACTGTGGGGAGTACCGTACCTATTTTTTTAAACATAATTTATACTGAGTACCGGCACCTTTGTGTTTTCTTTTTAAAGCCACACACACACACACGCACACACACACTCACACACATCAACCCACACCAACACACGTGTCTGGAAGTGAGTTCCAGTTCCTTAATAGGCACGAGGGTTTGTCCTACCAGACATGACAACATGACATGACAACATGACATGACAACACGACATGACAACATGACATGACAACATGACAACATGACATGACAACATGACATGGCAGCAGCAGCACAGTCAAGTCCCCGCTGTAGACAAAGGTGAATGCCTATCACAAAGATTGGGATAAGAAAGTACTGGAAAACAATCACATTAATACTAAATGATGAGATATGAGAATGTCCAGTGTCAAGTGAAGGTCCCTTTACACCAATCACGCATCGGGCATTTGGAGCCAGACTCAGACCATCACCTCGATGGTTGGTGTAGTTAACATGACGCCGACCGCCTTCACTTCCTAGGGCTTTACCATTTAAGGCTGGGTCGATCTGGGAGCCAAGACATGTTTTGGAAAATAATTCGGTACCATGCGGACTTAAACCTACGACTTCGGATTCACAGGCATGTGTTCAGTCCAAATCTAGTGTAGTCAACCTGAAAATAACACAATGATAAGATAAGACGCAGACTGCAAAGTCTGTATGCCATACTAGAATGACCAGTTGCTGACTCTGACGTGTTGACTCTCTCACAGCCAAACTATGATGGGTGATGATTCCTTACCGCCATGACGTCATGTGTGCCTTTCTTCATGCTGGCTCTAGGGATCGCCAACATTGTGCCTTTTGAAGGTGAGTGCCGGCGTTGTTTTGTATTTCAGCACTGGTTTGTCACGTCTAACTGGAAACGTATGACTTGGGTTTGTGTTGTCACCTGTGCTTGTTTTTGTCGCTAGTTAATTCAAATAGCTCTTTTCTCAGCCTTAGTTGGTAGCTATTTTCTCAGCCGTAGCTGGTAGCTCTTTTCTCAGCCGTGGTAGCTCTTTTCTCAGACGTAGTTGGAATATAATTATTACAGACAGAACAAACACACACCCACATAAATACGTATACGCACACATACTCATACACCTGTGTATCAACAAGATAACCTCTGTGACCAAATTTGTTTTAGTCGCTACTTCAACAAAATCCTTGAGAAAGAGAATAGGCGCTTTTGAGCTGAAATGCTATAGAAAGATTCTGAGAATATCTTGGACAAAGAAGAGGAGAAATACTGACATCTTGAAAGATCTGAACATCAAGGAAGATTGGCTAGTAAACAGCTTCCTGTCTCGGAAGCTGAAATATTTTGGTTATATAAAGCGCCACAACGGATTGGAAAAAAAATATAGCAGAAGGCATGGTACCAGGAAGGAGGGACAGGAGCCGACCAACGCGAAGATGGGCACAGGATATAAGTAACTCCTTGAGTGTGAAAGTGCATGAGGCGGGAGAACTAGCAAGAGACCGAGTTTCTTTCACGCAGACCGTGATGAGAGCGACGTTCTGCAAAGGACCTGCTACATGATGATGATGACTTCAACAAGAGACCCCAGTAGCCAGGAAATAGCCTTCGGTAGCATACGACAGCTGACTGTTAACACTGCAGTTCTTCTTCTTCTTCTGCTTGTTCTACGTGCCGGTGGTTTTCACACGAGAAGGCCACAGACCTCTATTAAGGCAATGGTGCGAGGCATTTCCTCCACTGATCTATGAAACATGGTTTTTACATTAGAATGTCAACCAGTCAGACTTGGAATCTCTCCAGTCAGGCTCTACTGCATGTACAGAGCATCTCTGTGGCATATGTTCAGTATTTTGTGGTGCCTATCCACATGGGCCATTTCTGAATCCCAGCTCTTTGAGTTTGTGTGTTCATGTGCTAGCGTAGTCTGGTGTGCCCAGTACGTAATCTAAATACAGTGGTCTGTTTCTTTCGTGTGGGTTGATTGATTGGGTCTTCAGGACTGAGTCCTGTATGGGAAGTGTTCTACGTGGTTTCAATGGCTGTCTTGTTTTGTTTTCCTTAAAAGTGCATCCTTTATCTAGCTGTTCTGTATGACTTCATGTTTGTGTTCAGTAGTCTGTTCTGTTATATCTCCTAGTGTTGCAGTAGCCGGCCACCCGCCGGAAGACAGTTTGTAGCATTTTCATTTGTGCAGATTTTATGCGTTATCAAAACGACTCCTTTATAAATATATAATGCAGCAGGATTGCTTGAAAAAAGCTAATGAAAGTAGATTTTTATATACAACAATAAGAAAGAGACAAACACTTCTTTGGCCACGCAATGGAAAGAGAGACGTGGGAGAACATCGTGACAACTGGAAATATCAGTGAAAAAAGGGGTAGAGGCAGACCAAGAGAGGTGATGCTGGATGGGCTGAAACGATGGCTGGGGGGGGGGGGGGGGGGTGGGTGGAGGTATCATCAAGAGAGCTGATCCAGGCAACCAGGGATGGTGATCTGTAAAGACGCATGAGCCCTACGCCAGTTGGCAGGGCACATAATGATGATGAATGCAGCACGCGTGCAAACACACACACACATGTACACTCACAAACACACTCACACACTCAAAGCCACACGCACATAAACACACACACAAAGGTAAGGACCCTTTAACGCCCTTGGCGCATCAGGCTAACAGTGGTTAGTCCTTTTTTTATATAGATAAATCGACACCTAGAGAATTATTTGGTGAAGACTACACCGGTCGCATTTACTTTCAGTGACATTACCCTGGTAAACCATTAATTCTATTTCACCTGGAATACTAGAACGTTTTATATAAATGCAGCTGGCTGAGGATATGAAGCTGGGGCCAACAGGCAAGGGTTTAGCCATCGCTGGTTAAGGATATGAATGCAGAAGTTAGTGCCAACAGGTAAGGGTCTAGCCATCGCTGGTTGAGGATATGAATGCTGAAGTTAGTGCCAACAGGCAAGGGTCTAGCCATCGCTGGTTGAGGATATGAATGCTGAAGTTAGTGCCAACAGGCAAGGGTCTAGCCATCGCTGGATGAGGATATGAATGCATAAGTTAGTGCCAACAGGCAAGGGTCTAGCCATCGCTGGTTGAGGATATGAATGCTGAAGCTGGTGCCAACAGGCAAGGGTCTAGCCATCGCTGGTTGAGGATATGAATGCTGAAGTTAGTGCCAACAGGCAAGGGTCTAGCCATTGCTGGTTAAGGATATGAATGCAGAAGCTAGTGCCAACAGGCAAGAGTCTAGCCATTGCTGGTTAAGGATATGAATGCAGAAGCTAGTGCCAACAGGCAAGGGTCTAGCCATCGCTGGTTAAGGATATGAATGCAGAAGCTAGTGCCAACAGGCAAGGGTCTAGCCATTGCTGGTTGAGGATATGAATGAATAAGTTAGTGCCAACAGGCAAGGGTCTAGCCATCGCTGGTTGAGGATATGAATGCTGAAGCTGGTGCCAACAGGCAAGGGTCTAGCCATCGCTGGTTGAGGATATGAATCCAGAAGCTGGTGCCAACAGGCAAGGGTCTAGCCATGGCACTACGGCCACCCCCCCCCCCCCCACCCCGGCTCTAGGTTAGGTCTTGGATGTCGACTTAGAGCCTGACAGCATGAGATTGTGCGGCAGATGTAAAGCTGAGTTTCTGAAAAATAACATAACATAAGAATCATGTTTACAGTGTGTGTCTAGCTACTTGTCTGTAGATCTTGATTAGTTAAATAAACAGCTTTGTGTTGTCGTTTCCTTAACTGTATGCAGAACATAACACAATCAGACCAGAGTGATTGTCTTAAATCTATTTACGTTTCTGTCTGCAATCGGCAACATCGATTGTTATTTGTTTTCAAAATCAGGTAGGTAAATTGAGAAGAATAATTGATTTAAAGGGGAAAAAAAACGTGTAGGGATTAAATTATTTCAAATATAGCCTTGAGTAAGAAATTATCTGTACGGATAGAAAATATTAAATGTATAATGTAAAAGCATTTTGTCAACACCATAGCAGCGATACAGTGGCGTGGTAGCTTGCATTCATAAATGTTAATGGGTTCCATGTTTTTGTGTCTACTATACATGACGGTAAGTAGTCAGAGTGTACGGCCCTGTTGTAACCATTGATGCGTCGGGCATAGATGCTAAGCTCATTAGTCTGAAGACCAATGTTCATTTTGTGGGTGAGGTGTCGCCTTTACCTCCTGGACATTTCCTGGCACCCACTGTTGGCTGGCTGGATCTCTTAGTGTGGCTTTTGTAATCATGTCAGGTGAAAAAATACCGGTTTCTTACGTTAGCTTTGTGAGGAATTTTCATGTTCATCTACCAATAACGATTATTAATTTAACATACACATACACACACAATTAATCTTCCTATATTGCTAATCTTACTGTATGCATTTTCCACTGCCAGCTTGTAGCTTCTTCTTAGTTAATGGTCATTGTGCTCTCTCTCTCTCTCTCTCTCTCGCTCGCTCTCTCTCTCTCTCTCTCTCTCTCTCTTTTCCATTTTCCTGCTGTGTGTGTGTGTGTGTGTGTGTGTGTGGTTGTGTCTGTAATAAGATATCGTTTTGTGTGGTATTCGCCAGTGGCATCCAACTCCTTTCTCTCTTCATCGTCAACATTTAAAGACCCTATAACGTAGACTGCCTTCACTTTGATACAGTAATCCAATTGCACCGTTTTACTTCTGATTTATCCAAGCAATTCTATATGCAATGGTCTGCAACGTATCTGGTTTAATGTAAAATTTTTCTTTTGTGGTTGGTAAAATGTCTTTTATTGACATCTGTCTGGTAACAGCAATGATGCAGATTCTCAAATATGTGTTCTTATTTGTTTGCTGGTGTTGTCTCATAGTGTCTTGATGATTTTTAGACTCCTCAAAACGTTGTCTAATCTTGTGATTTCTTTCAAACAGTGAGTTGATATATATTTTCATATGAACGTAATATACCCCCCCCCCCCCCAACACCACACCCAGTTTGGCAGCAGGTTTTTCCGTCACAATAGGCCCAAATAACTTTTCTACTGTTGAACGGGGTTCCTGGCGTTTGCTATTGGGGCTCACATCCGATCGGTGACCGTGTTAGTTAGTGAGTGAGTAAAACTGAACCCCACAAGAGAACCCCGCACACTGAGCTATTAACACCCTGTGACGCGAAGTGCAGTGCGTCATTACTCGGATGAGAATCCCCCAGGTCAAATCCCAGAAACCCCGTTGAACCGTACAGTTATATTAGGGCCCCTGACAGTGACTAAATAATTTGAAGTCTAGTCGAGATGGGCTGTAATATCAACAAATGCTTGACCCATCTCGGGACATGTGCAGATGGGGGTGTCAATAATACACGCTGACATTCCTGGGGGGGGGGGGGAAGAAAAAGGTATATTGAAGAGAAATTACGTTAACATAAATTTAATATACGTAGATCTCGAAAGCCCTATTTCCATCTCCGCATGTATTGTAAAGAATTGTCGACTAATTAGGTGTTTTCTTCGAAGTCAGAGTAGCAAGGAGCCAATAGTCTGCATACGAATCAGCAAGATCTGTAAAACAACTGTGCATGCAAAACTCAAGTTCTGAAGCAAGACTAAAATTCAGAAGTGGACGAAAACTCATAATTTCCGCGAGAGTTGATAGTTAATAAACGCAAAGAAGAAGCAGATATTGTTTCATTGTATGTTGTTTGTTTTCTGCTTCAAGATGTTGACGTATTGCACATGTGCATCCCCAGCCACGAACGATTGCCAGTATCACTTCAGTTACCTAAATGGTGCTACCGGGAATTTCAGCAGCCCGGGATTTCCCGACAGCTACCCATCACTGGTCAGGTGTTGTTACTACTTTGATGCGGCCAAGTACGGAGGTGTGGAGATTAAGTTCGATACTTTCGAACTGGAAGACAAGAAAGAAGGAGATGAAGCGTAGGTGGTGTTTTTCTCTAGCATATTTCAAAGAAAAGACTTGGAAAAGAATTAGTTAGATTTCCAAACTATAGTCCTTTCCAACATTCGTGCCCAGCTTTAACATTCTGTAACTCAGCAACTGGTCTGTGTAAATTTTTAAAATGTAGCATACAACCTGTTAATAATCATGTCCCTGTAGGAAAAAATTATATTGTAAAAAAATATCGAATTTTTATTTTGTCTTGTTTGAAAAAACAGACACATATTTACAGTGAATGGCTTGAGGCGAAGTTAGAAAATCATTAAACTGCAAGTGTTTTGGAGGTAACCCGCGCGAGAAACTAAGGTGCACTTTTGAAAAGTGAAGTGGATACGCAAGGTACTATACTGCTAAAATACACAGCTTATAAAAAGTATCTGATTTTTGTCAATTCCCCCTTTTTTTTTTAAAAGAGTACACAAATTATTAATTCGACAAAGATCAAAAACATTCGCTGCTGTAAAAATAAACGCAGCAATGTGCAATTGTAAATTATGAAATCATGACAAACCTAAGGCAACGTGCAAAATTGCATGTTGATCTGTAAATTAGTTTTCCAATTTTTTAAACCTTGAAGGTATGCATTTTGGAAAGGACTATTCAAATATATTAAGAATGACACTCGTAAGTTAATGAAGTTTGTTGCCTACCTGAGTATATAGTTGTAGACACTTATTTTTTAATAGAACAAGGGGTATTTTCTGGCTGATGTTATCCGTATAACGACCATCGTCTAACTTACTGGAACGTTTCATGATATCCATTTTAAACTATGAAATAGTGGAAATAATTAATTGTCAATCTTTGACAGTAAATTTAAACTCAGAAAGCATTGAACTGCGACACATTTTGAGGCTGGTCTCGAGACATGTCTTCCGCCTGGAGTGCTGGAGGTCCCGGATTCAGGCTTCGGTGAAGGCTGTAATTTTTTTTTCACGTGAAGTTCTAGTAATATCATTTGGTCTCTTGGTAGTAAGATCGGACGCCCGTGTGTATTGTTGCGCACTCAGAAAATCCCTTGGCAGTTGGGAATCGAAAAAGCGTAGCCTTAAGGCGCTGTCCGGGCAAATGTGGAGTTAAAAATCTACTCAAAGTATTTCAGGATCCTCGCCGGTGCTAAGGAATTCGTGCACTGCGCTGCAATTCTTCGGACTCAGGCTTGATTTAGAAGTAGAACGGAGCACTTATGGGTTACTATCCTTGTGCCTTGATGTTGATCTATTGTTTACATCTAAACCTAACATTTTGATGGTTGAGAAGTCATCAGAACAGACATCCACATCAGAGTGCAGGCTACTTTGTAACTTAGGCGTGCCACTTATAGGATAGTTGTTGAAGGGGGATTCTGGGATGTGCTCCTGTTTGATTCTCATCCTTGAGGTGGTAATCCTCAGGACAGCAGAGTGTAGAGGACAGTGACCATGTCCTGACCCGAGAAAGCAAAATCTTCATACGACTTATACGACAGGCATGGGGAAACATGTATGTTAAACATAATCAGCATTAGACGTGGCAACAGGCTGTGGAAATACGTGACGACCAACGCCACACTGCCTCGACTTTAACCTCATCCACAACTAAAAGTCCTGGTAAACGTTAGACTACTGTCGTGGGCTATGAACGGTTCTTTGTAATGATAGATTGCCGATACTTGAGAGCTGTGATAATGACTGTCACGTTACTTGTATTGTCATCAGGGTTGTTTCTTTTTTCTAAAACAAAGGTACTCAATGTGTCTAAAAAAGTGCCGGTACGAAGTGTTTATTACAATAGCCATGACAAAAAGTGGTGCTTAAAAGAAAAAGCACCGGTACTGTGTGCCCCCCCCCCCCCCCACACACACACACAAACACATCTGATTATGAAAATACCTAACCTGTAACACTAGTTTGTAAAAATTTGTGCAGAAATTATATTTCTGACTTTAACTTATTTAAAAATAACTTCACGCGTTTTTTTTTTTTTTTTAATGAAAGCCTTTCTGTCAGTTGCAGGTATGACTTCATCGATGTGTATACAGTGGATTCCCAAAACTTTAAGACCTTTCTGAACAGATTCTGTGGACGAAAGATCCCACACACAATCATATCTCCCTTGTCGAAGCTGGAGATACAGTTCGTCTCTGACCACTGGCAAAACTCGGCCGCCGGCTTCAGCGGAAGATATCGTTTTCTGGGAACAGGTTAGTAGCTGCTGATTTCTGGGAAGGGGTTAGTAGCTGCTGTTGTTTTCTGGGAGAGGGTTAGTAGCTGTTGTTTTTCTGGGAGAGGGTTAGTAGCTGTTGTTTTCTGGGAGAGGGTTAGTAGCTGTTGTTTTTCTGGAGGGAGGGTTTTTAGAGGGTTTAGTAGTGTTTTTTGGGAGAGGGTGTACTGTTGTTTCTGGGAGAGGGTTAGTAGCTGTTGTTTTCTGGGAGAGGGTTAGTAGCTGTTGTTTTCTGGGAGAGGGTTAGTAGCTGTTGTTTTCTTAGTAGGTTGAGGGAGAGGTTAGTAGCTGTTGTTTTCTGGGAGAGGGTTAGTAGCTGTTGTTTTTTGGGAGAGGGTTAGTAGCTGTTGTTTTCTGGGAGAGGGTTAGTAGCTGTTGTTTTCTGGGAGAGGGTTAGTAGCTGTTGTTTTCTGGGAGAGGGTTAGTAGCTGTTGTTTTCTGGGAGAGGGTTAGTAGCTGTTGTTTTCTGGGAGATGGTTAGTAGCTGTTGTAGTCAGGAGCTATTACGTCCACAAACTGGGATAACATACTGACACACACTAGCAGTGCAGTTATACACCAATGTATGCATATATATATATATATAAGTATATATATATATTGTATAATCGCGATATAGATATATTATAGCTATATTGTTGTCTATAATATATATATATTATCAAAGTAAACGTTTGGTTATAAATATAGAGATTATAGTAGGGGCCGCATGCTATATATATTTAGTAACTGTTATTTTTCTGGGAGAGAGTTAGTTAGCTGTTGTTTCTGGGAGATGGTTATAACTGTGTTTTCTGGGAGAGATTAGTAGCTGTTATATAATAAGATGGTAGTATATATATAGAGAGTTATAAATTTTCTGGGATAGGTTAGTATATAACAGCGTTAGAGCCTGAAAGGGGGATATCTAAAGCTGTTGTTTTCTGGGAGAGAGTAGTAGCTGTTGTTTTCTGGAGATGGAATAGTTAGCTGTTGTTTTCAAGGATAGCAGTAGTAGCTGTTGTTTTTCTGGCAGACAGGGGTTCCCAAGGAGCTATATGCCTCAGTCAAACAAATGGGATAACATACTGCACAGCAACTATCAAGTGACAGACTAATGATGCATGAGATACATGGTCTATCGTAGGGCTAGGTAGACCAAGTTGTGAGTGCTATAGATTGGATATAGCAACGTTCTCTGTAAGCTAGTTGTAGGGCTAGGATATAGGCTCAAGTTGTGAGTTCCATGTCCTTCATATGTTTCTACGTGTAGTGCTAGGATATAGGCTCAAGTTGTGAGTTCCATGTCTTCTATGTTTCTACGTGTAGGGCTAGGATATAGGCTCAAGTTGTGAGTGTCCATGTCTAGGATATGTTTCTCCATGTCTAGTTTCTACGCGTAGTGCTAGGATATAGGCTCAAGTTGTGAGTTCCATGTCCTCTATGTTTCTACGTGTAGGGCTAGGATATAGGCTCAAGTTTGTGAGTTCCATGTCTTCTATTTTTGTTTCTACGTGTAGGGCTAGGATATAGGCTCAAGTTGTGAGTTCCATGTCCTCTATGTTTCTACGTGTAGTGCTAGGATATAGGCTCAAGTTGTGAGTTCCATGTCCTCTATGTTTCTACGTGTAGTGCTAGGATATAGGCTCAAGTTGTGAGTTCCATGTCCTCTATGTTTCTACGTGTAGGGCTAGGATATAGGCTCAAGTTGTGAGTTCCATGTTCTTTATGTTTCTACGTGTAGTGCTAGGATATAGGCTCAAGTTGTGAGTTCCATGTTCTTTATGTTTCTACGTGTAGTGCTAGGATATTGGCTCCATGTCCTCTATGTTTCTACGTGAGTTCCATCAAGTTGAGTTATGTTTTCTATGTGTAGTGCTAGGATATAGGCTCAAGTTGTGAGTTCCATGTTCTCTATGTTTCTACGTGTAGGGCTAGGATATAGGCTCAAGTTGTGAGTTCCATGTCCTCTATGTTTCTACGTGTAGGGCTAGGATATAGGCTCAAGTTGTGAGTTCCATGTCCTCTATGTTTCTACGTGTAGTGCTAGGATATAGGCTCAAGTTGTGAGTTCCATGTCCTCTGTTTCTACGTGTAGGGCTAGGATATTGGCTCAAGTTGTGAGTTCCATGTCTTCTATGTTTCTACACTTAGTGCTAGGAAAATAGGCTCAAGTTGTGAGTTCCATGTTCTCTATGTTTCTACACGTAGTGCTAGGATATAGGCTCAAGTTGTGAGTTCCATGTTCTTTATGTTTCTACGTGTAGTGCTAGGATAACAGATGCTGTAGCAGAGAGAGAGAATACAAAACTCCACAGCAGCCGCAAACTTCACACTGGCACAGGAAGGTGTATAAGTAACAATTTGAGATGGGTTAATAGGAGACACACAAGTGACAATATTAGATAGGTTAATGGGAAATAGTCGGCTCTATGGCTAAGTCGATGCGAACGCTTCGTAATTGCCGGGGTGCCAGGTTCGATCTCAGCTGCGGGCCATGCGCCTTGCGTTGGTTTTGACAGGGGTATCAGGGGGCTGACTGTCCAGAAACCAATGGCAAACTACTGGACTTAAATTGCCTAGAGAAACCACACAACAGCCAGGAGCTGTTGGGTTTGGTTCTGCAATGTCCTGTAAAAAGGATACGCAACTAACCTTAATGGGAAACAGAGTTGAAACATTAAACTTGAGAGAAGAACCTTTTCACATCATGATAAGTACAACTTGGGTGTCTGGTGCTAACAATTTTTAAGATCATTGTTCGGGAATCTTTTACCCGCCAGGAGCCATCTTGATATTTGTAACATCATTCGACTGCCAGTCAAAATTATGAACCTTCAAACTAACCTTTCATATTTAGTCAAACATTTCAATGAAGTAGCCTTGGCAGGACCAGTCTAAATGATTACATAGGCTTTATATGGCCTGCAGGTCGGATCATTCATCACAAAGAATACTAGAGAGTTTTCAGAAGGAAAGACCAGAGGAAGGGAAGTGACCACCTAATTGATATGCTATGGCCTAGACTATGTAATGACCTAATATTTGACACCCCAACACCAGTCTCGGCCATGTGAATACCTTTTGTAATCAAATGTAAGATATGCAAGTGTCAGTGCCATGTTTTGTTTTATGCATAATCTAAGTACATGATTGATTTTGACAATTTTATAGAAGAAATATAAAAAAGAAAGGAACTGGAACATTCTGTGAACACTGAAAACATTTATGGAAAGAGACATAGTGGAAGACAATATGGGACGATTCTTTTGTCATCGTATGGAAAAGTGTTGGAATAATTGAAATATGCTATTGGAGATTATAAGCTGTGAAGAAACACGATCGCTCATGCCAGTTGGCATTTGATGGTAATGGGAAAATAAATATTCCAAAGCTTTTCTGATTTGTGAAAATGTGCTTGATTTTGTGGGGATATGTAATAAAATGAAAATAAAATTAGGTAAATGGCAATGCACTTAATGATTTTCTCCCCAGCCAAATGTACAAATGCGTCCCTGCGTCTCTACAATGGCTATGCAACATCCATGAGCGTGCACACCCACGAGTGGTGTGGCAAAAAGGCAGCCTACAGCCATGATGAGCTTCAGTACCCCACCTTTAGCAGCAGGACCGTGATTCGCTTTATCTCTGGGCCTAGACAACTCAGTCAACACCGGGGATTCAAGCTGCTGTGGATGGCCTTCTATATACCAAACCCCCCAGGTACTCAGCTTTCAAGTGTTGTCCACTGTTTATTTTCAATGATATGAACCCACTCATTGTCAAACAACACATTATTCTTTCAATGACATGAACCCATTCATTGTCAAACAACACATTATTCTTTCAATGATATGAACTCACTCATTGTCAAACAACACATTATTCTTTCAATGACATGAACCCACTCATTGTCAAACAACACATTATTCTTTCAATGACATGAACTCACTCCTTGTCAAACAACACATTATATGTTTGGTTTTAATTTCCTAGGAGGAATCATGTTCTGAATTACTTTTGCATCATCAAGTGTTTACATTGACCTATTCTACCCAAGCTGTTAATTCAAACTCTTTAGTTTGGTATTATCTGAACTACTTTTGACTGAATTTGTTCAAATTTCACAAAACAATACTTTTAGGGTTCAATCAAATGGCAGTTCTCTGGGTTGTCAGTAGTTTATAGGGAGACAGGTTTTCACGTGAATAAATGAAAAATGCACAGTTGGATGAATGTGTTTTGTAAATTTTATAAACAGCGCATTACATTGAGAAAAACAATTTCTTCTAATATAATGAGCTGAAGAAACAAATCTCTAGAAACAAAAGAGTAAATCTTACTCGAATACACATAAAGTGGCAAGGTAACATGGGACAGACACAATGTGATGTTGACCTCAATCACAGTGACAGTGTGTGAAAATAATGATGTGTTGTATGCAGGCTGTAGATGAACTTATTGTGTTCTGTATTCTTCCCCAGACGTTTGCACTGGTTTCCAGTGTGAAGGTGGCCAGTACTGTGACAATGGGGTATTGTGTACTTCCTTACCAAAATATTGCATTTCCAAGCATCTGGTGTGTGATGGCGTCCGTAACTGTGGCCCTTTTGATGACAGCGATGAGAGGAAATGTAAGGGAAAACACTGACACATTTTTTTTTTACATACTTTATTTGTAGATGTGATTATCTTATTTTATGTGCCCTTACTTGCCCCTGATAGTGTTTGTTGTATCTGTTCAAAATTTGCTAGTTAGCTACAATATGACATTGTGACTGGGTAAACAGTTGCTCACTTTGGGCAGAAGATTACTTTGTAATAGTTTGCTGGAACCTCTCTGTCTTTCCAGTTATATTATGCCAAGCAGTGGCCTCCAACCTTTTTCAGGTTGTGCTCCCCTTGAGTATAAAGCAAGATCCCCATGCCCCCTCCCCCTTTATAAGTATACGGACCAGCAAGAACTGATTTTGATTGACATTCAACCTCACAAGGACATCACACCCAGCGATTAACACCAGGTGACACAAAGTGCCACCATTCAGATGAGGATCCCACGAGAACTGATCCCAGAAACGCCGTTCAACCCATTGGGGTTATATTAGAGCTCCTGGCAACAGCCGGAGTGAGGCTTAAAAAAAAAAATGGTATCCTAAATCAGGACAGTGATATGTTATACTAAAGCAAGAACTGCTAGCATTAAGAGAAGTTTTCTAAAGTAAGAGCCTAGGATTTCATGAACATTCTTGCCATCACAATTATTTAACATACTTCTTCTCAGACACTCAGCTCTGAACTTATCTGCAATCATTTTCTCCTGTGTGCCTGTTCTATTTCTGATTTTATCCTCCCATGATCACTTGACATCTGGTTCACATGACCAATATGACTGTTCTATATGGTTGGGCTGGGTTGCTGGCATTTGCTCCCTTTGTTTGCTTTCAAACAGTGGTTGCTGGAGTCACTGGGGGGTCAGGCTTATGCTGCATTCCCAGAACAGGAAACATTTCAAAAAAAACAATAATTAACTCGAGAGCACATATTTCAATTCTTCAGTGGATCAAACTTTTGCAGAATTATCCTGACATCTGACTGTTTCAGTATTGTTAAGTGAGTTTTGCCATCACTCTATTTTTAACTGCCATGCCTATTTTTTTTATTATTTAAGTTATGTGTTTATAACTTTAACACTTTATTCTAAAATTTTACTGTTTTTATTCTCAGCATTGTTTAAAAAATTGTTTTAAAAATATTAATTTATGTTTTTCTCTGGCTCATTAAAAGTATCATGTTTTAAAACATAGTCACATCATAAGTCAAGGTAATGTAGAAATAACAGTGCTACAGAAAAAAAATTTGATGAAAAAATTATCCAAAGACATGATTACACATGCTACCAAATGTATTATATAAAGACTGATTATAGATGTTTCAGAAGAAATCACAGAAACATCAAATTATAGATTTTGAATTAAAAAAACACTCTACTTGCAAATAGAACAACTGTGAAATGGAAGTTAGGTCTTTTTGTTTCAGTGGATGAAGGAAAAAATTACAAAAGAACAGAATGAAAAGCTTGTATAAGAGATTAAAAGCAAAGAATGTACAACTTGACGTAAAGATGACTAATTAGAGACTACTGCAGCCTAGCTGTAAAGATGAAAGCAGAAGAAGAACAAGAAGTACACTGTCAGAAAATGTCCTACATTGATATGACAATAACTGTGACCTTGAATTTTGTGAATTTTAAAACTGATTTTCAATCTGAATTTGACCCAGGTACAAGAGAAATTCTCATCATGGCTGCATGTATAGCTGTACCCAGTCTGGTTCTGGTCATGACAGTTGTTCTAATTGTGTACTGCTACAAAACTAGACATGTAAAAAAATCTGCTTCACAAGATCAGCCATTGGCCAACAGTCATAGTCAGGTATGACCTTCCCTTTGTTTTCTTTATAAGTCATGTATATTTGTTTTACCTATGATAGATGCATTGACAGTGTAGGCAACAGACTTCTTTCAAAAATAATTCCTAGATAGTTTTGTGAATTATCTCTCTTTATTTTACTGCAGTTTATTGTGATGTGCGGCAGCATCTCTGTAACAATTCCATTATTTAAAGAACACAACAATACCACCGCCTTATTTGGGTTGATGTCCGAGACTGTTTTCACACCTGACTTACCTGCCTTATCTACCATGAACTGCTGTTTTCTAGATATTTATATTCTGCTTTTCCCCTGTAAGTAGACTGAGACATCCTCATAAAAGTTCTGATTCTCCCTATACCCAACTGCTTCATTACCCCTATCCTGCTTGTGCTTGTGTATACATTAGAAGACACCGGGGAAATGGCAGCACCCTGTGGTTGGCCAGGTGTGATACTACATGGTTCAGAGCTCCACGAGCCTAGGAGAAAGGTGGTCTGCCATTCATAAGACCGCAGCAGCAATACAGTTGACAATCCAGGGACTTAACTCCATATCCATAAGTGTAAAGTAAAATGTCATTTATAACCCTGTTATATACATCTTCCAAATCCAATGCCCCTGATGTTTCATGTTAAATGTTGAAACCTCTCATATACATCATGAGCCAGAATCAGTTTTTTTGCCGTTTTTCCTTTCTTGGTCAGTGGGGAGGGTGTAGATGATATCTAATGAACTAGGAGTGGTCACATAGGAAGTATTATTTTTACAGTAGTGTATTATTTCAATTCGACAATGGTATCAGGGGCTTGACCCTCCAGAAAGCAATGGCAAACTACTGGACGTAAATTTGCCTAGAGAAACCACACAACAGCCAGGGGCTGCTGGGGTTGGTTCTGCAGCATCCTGTAAAGGATACGCAACTAACCTTTCTATTATTTCAATAGATTTGCAACAGATACACAAAGCGAAACATAATTTCTATGAAAAAATCATTATTACAGTCAGCCAAAGGAGACTAGATTCACAGTGGAATTGTCAAAGAAGCTCACATTTCTTAGAGTTGAAAAAAGTTAAAACAATATAATACAATCCTTACCCTTATAGACTACAGGTTACATAAGGTTTATAAATTCTTTGGAGGTTGCACAATGATTCTGTCCTGTCGGCTTGCCATCCAGATTGATTCCTGTAATCCCAGGGTGGTCAAACTTTCAGGTAGTTGCCTGGAGGAGGAAACGACAGAAGAAAGGTGACCAGTATAAATTGATGGTGAACGTCTGTTGACTGAATCTGCTTTTTGTATTTCTAGGGAACCACGTCACGAGAGTCCTTCATCTTAAGTCATCGGCAAATGATGCTTCATACCAGTTTCATAGACGGGACTGGGGCCTTGACATCAGACTTGGACCAGCAGTTCAATCATGATCCAAATGACATAGACCAGGTTAGTGAACAATGATCATCTAAAATTGCCAGTGAATACCAACAGAAAACAGTAATGTAAACACCTCCACACTTCTTTAGTTATTATGACTAACTAAAACATATAAACTTTTACCAAACTCATTCTAATATCCCTCATTGTTTATGTTTGCATCCGCTTGCCTTGTTTCAGTTACATAGTAACATTTCAGAGACTCACTATTCTATGACAAATCCATCAAAATGTTACCTTAAAGATCTTTTAGAAGTGAGATGCTTTGTATAAAGACAAAGTATGTCTTTCTTTTATCCTCTGTTTATTTTAATACTTTTTTCTTTGAGTAAGCTTTGCTTCAGAATTCATGAGTGTACTGCATTCCACAGAATATTTCTAATTGATTATTTTTGATTTCATAGATCCTTCTGCTGTTCAGATGTGGTCGTGTCCAATACATCAAACTGTAGGAGACAGAAGACTTTAAAAAGAAATGATGAATCAATTAAAAAGACAAGTGAAGGCAAATTAAAAAAACAACAACTTTTCACAATATTTTCCAAGAAAACAAAAGAGACAAAATTCAAATTGGTAGAACTGATCTCAAAGGGTAGTGAAACAAAATATTAGTTACAGTTCCAACATCAGAGCAACAGGATCCCTCATCATTTCTCCATTTCCCTGCCAGCCAAACTGACATATAATACCAGTCACTGCAGGATGTAAACATTTAAACAGACTGTAGCAGTCTGTTCAGTTCCAGTCTAGACATTTCATGTATCCTAGATGTTATTTTAGCAGCTGATTTTAGCAGGCAGTGGGCTTGTGCTAAATTCATATAAATCTAATGAGAGTCTTATACCTCATGTACCATAGTCTGTTACCTCACTTACTAGAGCTACATTTTAAGTCTACTGTTAAAAAAAAATTGTTAACCCCTGACACTCTACTACTACTACTATAAAAAAAAAACATAGCTACTGAAGGGAACAGAATGTTGTCATTAAAAATTTTTTTAATTTAATGAGTGAAATTGTTCAAATTTGCAAGCAAGAATACTTTAGGATTCAACCAGTCAACTGATAGTTATGTTGCATCTGGTTTGCAGACAGATTTTATGTGTATAGGCTTTCCTGTCAACTAATAAAAATGCCCCATCTGATAACCAGTGGCGTAGAAAGGGAGTGGTGACTGCAATGCTATATATGTAGAAGGAGGTGGATGGTGTGACAGGACATATTCAACAACAGGTACCACTTGACCTTGCTATACCATTGCATGTAACTATGCTTTTTTTTTTTTTTAATGAATGCACCATAGGATAACTTAATTTCTTTTGTTTTTTTTTAATGAATGCACCATAGGATAACTGCATTTTTGTTTGTTTTTTGTTAAACAATATAAAAAGTCAAGTAAAAGTCCCTTTACTTGACAGTGACACATCAGGCATATGAGGCTAGACTCATATCGATGGATGATGTGATCAACATCACGCTGGCCACCTTTCCTTCCCAGGACTTTACCTAGTAGCCATTTAAGGCTGGGTAAACTTGGCAGCCAAGGTCATGAAATAAAATATCTGGCTACGTGGAGATTTGAACCCACGACCTTCTGATCCACAGGTGAGCATCTAGCCGCTATGTCACAGTGGCTACCAAGCAAATTGTAAATAGTAGAGAACCTCCAGGAATGTGGTCAGTACTTCAGTCCAGCCAAGCAAGCTCTGTCATGACATATAATGCTATAAGATATAAATCTTGTCTGCTACATTTTTCAGCAGATCCACCATTGTCTTCCTCAGGCATAAAAAACAAGAAGAAAAACAGCACAGAAATAATATACATTTTATAACATTGGTTTGTCATTGTAACCAAAAAAAACATGTTTTCCTAGAATTTATTGAAAAATTTTTTGGTTTCCTTGTGTTTCACATCTTCAATAGAGTGCCACCTGGTCTCATATACCAGGCTGGAACCACACAACCACTGTGTTAAATCAAGCTGTACCAAACAACTCTTGTTCTTACAGTACATGTGGTGTGGCACTAGTAGTCATGTCTATTCACAGCATTATGTCTCATGTACTTTTAGTTAGTTCTGACACAGATAATCTATAATATTCCCTGCTGTGTGGTGTTGGTAGTCATGTCTATCTACAACCTTCTGTCTCGTGTACTTTCAGTTAGTTCTGACACAGATGATCTTCCACAGTCTAGGCCATGTGGTATTAGTAGTCATGTAATATCCACAAACTTATGTCTTGTATACTGTCAGTCAGTTCTAGCACATGATGTCACACTGTCCAAGATCTTCTCTCTGTTTTCCTTTACCTATTTTTCCCTCCAGCTTTTCCACCATCATAATGTAATCCACCTGTCTCTTCAAAGAATGTAGATTGTCCCCTACTAAACAACTAATTTCATGTTCACTGCTGACTTCCTAAATGATATGCTTTTCTTACTTTGAGCAGCCGGCCAAGTGGTTATACTTGGCTTTTATGTGTGAGACCTGGGTTCAATCCTTGGAAAGGGATGAAGATTTATTTCTGTCAAGACAAAAATAATTATCCTAACCTGCACAGTTTGTGGCAACTACACTAGCCATGCACCCTTAAATTCCTGACTTCCGTAAAGGTGGTAAATGAAGCTAGTAAAGACGGATAGTTAATGTGGCCCATCCATTTATGATATTAGTCTGTTGAATTCTAACTATGAGATCCCACTTCTGTTTCAGAGTTTATTTATTGAGTTTTTAAACAACATTTATTAAAGATCACAACTGCCCTAAGCGGGGTCCGTGGCTTAGGCATTGCGAGTCCGACTCGTAATTTCAATGTACCGTGATCAAAACATTCTGATGGCTGCCTAGGTTTTTATCATGGTACGGGGCATTGCAGGTCGACCCAGCCTAAAGTGTGTACCAGGAAGTAAAAACGGCCGGCATAATGCTGACCACATTACCCACCTAGTGCCGATTGGTTTGTAAAAAAATATGGGATGCTCTTCCCATATGCCCAATGCGCCTAAGGCGTAAAAAGGGATCTTTACTTTTTTACTTACTTTACCACTGCCCTGAACAGAAAAAGTTGATAACTATCTTGCACTGAAAGCATAAAGGGGTCATCACTACACGGCTTTTTTTTCCCAATTTATGACAAAAATATCACTTTTTCAATGTGCTCGTTTTTGTAAAGTTCATCATTGGTAGAATAGATTACACACAAAATTTATGTCATTTGTAAACAATTTAGCTTTGAAAAATTAATACTAAAGGCACCAACCCATGCACTTTTTAAAGATTAAAAAAAAAGTTTAAAAGTCAGTTTTCTCATGTCTCTATATTTCTTTTTGTCTCAGCTAATATAAAGACTAGAAACATGAAATTTAGTATGGATACTCCCTAAACAATATTATAGGGACTGGTTTTTTCAAAAGTAGATTAAAAATTTTTTTTGGTTTTTTTAAATTTGATTGTTGTCTTATGATGCAAGATTTTTTGACTTTTTCAATAAACCTACATTTTAAAATTCTACGAAAAATATTTAAAAACATGTTTAAAGTAAATAAACTACACCTGCACCTCTAAATTGGATAAAAGGTAATGAAACTGTCATCTATTTTTTAATATGTATGTTTGTTTTTGAATTTTTAGGATTCTAAGTACATGTTGTTTTTTCCCCACAAGATGGCGGCTATTGCCATGACAACCATGATTTTTTCACACTCAAAATATGCAAATGTAATAACATGTATCCCTTTAAATGACCATTATTAAATAATGGCTCTAACTCTGTAAATAACATTTAAAAATTTGTTTGGCGTAGTGACCCCTTATGGCATGAAGAGGAAGGAGCTGTTTACTTGACTCAGCTTGCATGTAGTTTAACCTTGCCTAGTCCCATTAAACTAAAATGAACAACTGTTTCCCATCATATCTCCACAGGAAACCACCCATGGGCTATTCTCTGATGGAGCCACCGGTAGTTTGAGAAGCCACAAAAAACGACCATCTTATCACATGATGCAACAGAAATACGAGGATGGCAACTTAATCAGTGCATAAAGTTTGACTGTTACATGTATCTATTCTGCGTTGTTGTTGACTATTATAAGAACATATCTTCAATAACAAGTGTCACATGATTTCAGCGTAATCTGTATGGAACATTACCAAAGACTACACTTGCCAAATATTTATTGAATACAAGTTTGAAGATATTTTTCTATTTCGTTAGAGATTCTATAAACCAGGAGTGGTTTCGAAAAGTAAACTGTGTCTGAAGGGCTGGAGTTTCTTCAGTTACAAGTTGGCCTCTAACAGCAGAGTGGATTAGAGCTAAGTATCTGTCTCTGAGGGCAGAGTGGCTTAGATTAAAGTGTCTGTCTAGGAGCAGAGTGACTGTGAATTCAGTGTCTGAATCTTGAGGCAGAGTGTCTTAAAGTCTCACTCTACTCTGAGGGTAGAGTGGCTGAGAATAAAGTGTGTGTCTCTAGGAGCAGAGTGACTGAGAATTCAGTGTCTGACTCTCGGGGCAGAGTGACTTAAATCTGACTCTACTCTGAGGTCAAAGTGGCTTAGAATAAAGTGTCTGTCTCTAGGAGCAGAGTGACTGAGAATTCAGTGTCTGACTTGCAGGGCAGAGTGTCTTAAAGTCTGACTTTATTCTTAGGGCAGAGTGGTTTAGAGTTAATTGTCTATCTCTAAGGTAGACTGATTTAGAGTTTGGTAGCTAAGGTGGAGCAGTTTAGAACTAAGTGACTGGATCAGTTTTCTGGGTCAGGAATTGAATGTCACATTTTTTCAGGCAAAGGTGAAACTGATTATTAGGTTGTTCATTACTTTGTTTATTTAGATAAATATATATGTGTCAGCATTTGTGGCTTAGGCATTGCAAACATGCTTCTAATGCTGGGGTGTCAGGTTTGATTCCAGCTGTAGGTGATTTGGCAGCAGACTGTCTTGTGTTGGTTTTGACAGCAGTACGAAGAGATGGACATTCAAGAAGCAATGGCAAACTATCAAACATAAATTTGCATAGAAAAACCACAAAGCAACTAAATGCTGAGGTTGGTTCTGCTATATCTGTAAAATTAAAAATTATTAACAGAGGCCTAAGGAGATTGCCTTGCCAACATCTGAGAACAGTATGATCTTCTAGTGTGCACCGATTTGTAATTTCTCTTTGTTCTTGGGGCTAATTTTTCTCCTAGTGTAATCAGAAGAAGGAGACTGGGCCACTACAGAATAGTTTCACAGTGTTATGAAGATTATCCTTCAACAGAGAGACAGAAAGAAAGAGAGAGAGAGAGAGAGAGAGAGAGAGAGAAAGAGAAAGAGGAGAGAAAGAGATAGACTGAGATAGACAGAGTGAAGAGATAGAGAAGAAAGAGAAAAGGGGGAGAGAAAGGAAGGGAGGTAGAGAGATAGACAGACAGAGTGAGGAGATAGAGAAGAAAGAGAAAAACAGACAGATAAAAGAAAACATTCTTTATGACACTGCAAATGTAATCTCTGGTGCCCAAAGACAATGCAGTACTCTTCTTGCAGTAAAATCAGTTTTCCTGGATGTTATGATTATGGCTTATTTTCTCCCATATTTGTGGTATGACTAGTCTTTTCCCATGTTTGTGGTATGACTGGTCTTTTCCCATGTTTGTGGTATGACTGGTCTTTTCCCATGTTTGTGGTATGACTAGTCTTTTCCTATGTTTGTGGTATGACTAGTCTTCTCCCATGTTTGTGGTACAGATTTTCACCTGTGTTTGTGGTATGACTAGTTTTCTCTTTTGTTTCTGGTATTACTGGTTTTCTCCCATGTTTGTTGTATAAATAGTCTTCTACCATGTTTGTAGTATGACTAGTCTTTTTCCATGTTTGTAGTATGACTAGTCTTTTTCCATGTTTGTAGTATGACTAGTCTGTTCCCATAATTATGGCATGACTGTTTTCTTCCATGTTTGTACTATGACTGTCTTCTTCCATATTTGTGGTAAGACTAGTCTGTTCCCATATTTGTGGTATGGCTAGTCTGTTCTCTTAACTGTAGTATGTCTTCTTCCATGTATTTAGTATGACTAGTCTTCTTCCATGTTTTTAGTATGACTAGTCTTCTTCCATGTATTTAGTATGACTAGTCTTCTTCAATGTATTTAGTATGACTAGTCTTCTTCCATGTTTTTAGTATGACTAGTCTTCTTCCATGTATTTAGTATGACTAGTCTTCTTCCATGTTTTTAGTAAGACTAGTCTTCTTCCATGTTTTTAGTATGACTAGTCTTCTTCCATGTTTTTAGTATGACTAGTCTTCTTCCATGTTTTTAGTATGACTAGTCTTCTTCCATGTTTTTAGTATGTCTTCTTCCATGTTTTTAGTATGACTAGTCTTCTTCTAGTCTTCTTCCATGTTTTTAGTATGACTAGTCTTCTTCCATGTTTTTAGTATGACTAGTCTTCTTCCATGTTTTTAGTATGACTAGTCTTCTTCCATGTTTTTAGTATGACTAGTCTTCTTCCATGTTTTTAGTATGACTAGTCTACTTCCATGTTTTTAGTATGACTAGTCTTCTTCCATGTTTTTAGTATGACTAGTCTGTTTCCATAACTGTGTTATGACTGTCTTCTTCCATACTTGTAGTATGACTGTCTTCTTCCATGTTTTTAGTTTGTGGTATGACTAGTCTGTTCCCATAATTGTGGTATGACTGCCTTCTTTCATGTTTGTAGTATGACTAGTCTTCTTTCATGTTTGTAGTATGACTAGTCTTCTTCCATGTTTGTGGTATGACTTCTTCCATGTTTGTAGTATGACTAGTCTTTTCCCATGATTATGGCATGATTGTCTTCTTCCATATTTGTGAAGACTAGTCTGTTCCCATAATTGTGGTATGGTTGTCTTCTTCCATGTTTGTGGTATGGCTTAGTCTTTTTCCATGTTTTTGGTATGACTAGTCTTCTTTCACTCTCCTGGCATGACGAATGTATATTTGGACTATAATAACATCTCTTATAAGATGAAGACTGGAATACTACAATAAACTATAATTAACAATAAAAAGTGAGTACATTTGCCAAAAGTTTAGGATGCAGCAATGTCTACCAGCAAAAGATAAAATACTACTGATCCCCATGTATAATAGAAAGATTGCTGCATATACCAATGTGAAGTCACAAACTTGATTTGTAATATGCTGTACTGAATAATTTGCAGCTCACCATTGTCAGATATGAGTCTGGCATTTTTTTATATGAATAGCAAGCAACATTTGTCAACTTGAAAACTTCGTGAACACATTTTTGTGTTTGTTGACGAACTTGCTTCAGAAAGCTGAACTGTTAACAAGGGCACTGATATATTTTGGTATCAAATAGTTACAATCTCTCAATGTTACCTCTAGTATTATCTAGCAATTCACTAAATCAGTGAAACACGTTTTTTCTAAAAATTCTTCTTTCACAGTGAAACCTTCACCGCTCATCATTTCCCCTATTAAATTCTCAGATCTATAGTACACTGAATTAGATCTGAGCGTATCTGCTCAATAATAAGAACAACGAAATAATTTTGTTTTTTGTTAAATGCATTAAGCGTTTTACCCCAGTTGAGAAAGAAAATGTGGAAATAGACACTTTTGACAAAATATTTGAGTGCATAATGTGAATGATGGGTTCATTATAAATGTAAAGCTGTGAAATGTTGAAGTACTGGAACCCAATTACTACACTGATGCTTGCTTGTTGACAGAATACTCCTACCCATTGCCATACGTCTGTGGGGGGTGGGGGTGGGGGGGGGGATGGCACCTGTCTGCAGATGTTTGTACATCTGTGTCCCACACAGGCAGCTGCACTAGTGTAGAGGCTAGATGCTTGCCTGCTGACCCAAAGGTCTTGCATTCATTTCTGCACTAAAGCAGTTTTTTTTGTTTTTGTTTGGCTCTCAGGTCAAATCACACTAAAATGGGTATGACATTTCCTAAGAAGTATTTGCTGCTGCCATGATCCTTGATTTGATGCTGGTCAATAAAATGATGGCTCTAGGATACAGGATGACTTCGCTTGATTTGGTTGAGGAATTATGCTTCACCGAGGGATAAAGGGCAAAGAAAGGCAACGGTGGCCATATAGCTTAGTGCCGCTGACACGAAAACAGTCGTTTACTAATCTATTGTAACTTAATTGCCCATTGCCAAGAGGCCGATAAATAGGACAGAAGCTATGGCCAAATGTTTACAATAGCTACTTAGCATAGCTGAATTATTTAGACTTTTCTTTATATATATATATATATATATATAAAGTAAAGTGAAAGTCCCTTGTCCACGCCTTCAGACATATTGGGTAAATAGGGCTAGACCTATATTTTATAGACCAAACGGCACTTTGTGAGTGATGTGATCAGTATCACATGAACTGCCTTTACTTTCCAGTATTGTATCAAGGCTGGGTCGCGACCTGGAAGCCAAGATTATTTTTGAAAAAGTCAGAACCTGAAATTACGACCTGCCGATCCACAGGCAGTATGACTAGCTGCTAGACCATGGCGGCTTGCATATAAATCCACACACACACACACACATATATATATATAATACTATCTATACTATACTATCTGTATGAATACAACAGAGAGGCATAAAGATTCTCTCTGAATCATTCAGTTTGTTCTTGTTAATTTGCTGCATGACTTGCAAGCAGAATTTGGCTGTAGATTATAATTCCTGTATAATGTTCACTGTAGATTATGTGAAGTGTGAGAATTAATTACTTAAAGATTTCATAATCAGAATTCAGCACTCTTCTAGATTGCAGGTCATACATACCTCAGATAATTCATCTTTAGGTTTCAGATGAGATTCTGTGTATTTATTGTACGTATATCTTCAAATATTTGTCTAATATATGAGTAACTATATACGATGTCACTGATGTGTGGAAGATTTGTATAGTCATCATTCACATATTTTTAAAATTACTGTTACCAGATAGATTTATTGTCTTTTAATGTGACTATACATTGCGTATGAACTTCATGTTGTCATAATTAGATGTACCTAATATTGTGT